AATGAGTCGGATGTTTCAGGCTATTGATGAGGCCAAGAAGCTGGGCATCAGAACGAAGGGAACTGAACCGAAGGTTGGCGCTCATGGTAAACTTGTGATCTTCCTCGATCCCCGAGACACTAATGGCGTGAATGTTGAACTCGAGGAGAAATAATCTGTTCCATGGCGGCGTAGATATATTCACGAGACTCTTTGAATATGTATTAGTCTCCGTAACCGTCGATTTCCATATTTTACATTATAAAAATTGGCAAATAAATGCATTCTCACCACTTGTTTTTGCAATGCATTCAATGCAGAATTCATTCGTTTTTGTGTTGTCCGGCAATCGCAATCGACGCGATCCGAACGCGATCACTGCGCATTTCCTGAAGTGTAGTGGATTGTGTACTAAATGAATCGGAGGAATGCGTAAGGTGAAGAATAAGACGGACTATTGTTTGATTACATATTAGTGGTCATCGTTCCGGATTGATCGGACTCGATCAAAGTTTCCCATAACCTGTTGCATCTGAATCAAGCCATCACGGAGTTGGTTTTGATCAGNTCATGATGATTGGCATTTTTCGGCCAAATTGAATTACAAGAAGATTCTCAATTGAATAATTGAAAACCCCTTCCCGAGAATAGGGATTTATTCAATGATTGAAAATTCCCATACCTTACTGTTCGCATGTCATCAGACTATCACGTGATATTGTTCATCGATAGATAAAGAGACCATCAGCTATTGGCCGTCGATTTACATGCGAACAATTGTGCTCTATTAGTGTCGTTCATTTTTCACAAAGTGCACCTTAAACTGTCAGAAAGTAATATTTTGTTGAAAATAATACAGAAAGTAATATTTTGTTTTGTTGAAAAAAAATTTCGTCGAAAAAAAATATTCATTTGAACGTTGTTTATCTCATCATTCAAACACAGTCGAGAACGTTGCAGTGGGATGGATTGTTATTTGTGAACAACCATAACCACCCGAGTGCATTGCGTACAGTTTGCAGCAGATAAGCTGCTTAGAAGCAGTAATTTTTTCGATGTATTATGTGTGGCAAAATTGCTATCATTGTTATTGATAAAACTTCATCTGCATTCTTGTTGATAGGGCTCAGTTGTTGTTTTGCTCTTGAATTGATAAGTGTTACTGTGTGTGGTAAGGGCCTTTTGCCTTAACCGTGTCAAGCTATTCTTTCGTCCCAATCAAATTGCCGACTGTAATGTTTCTACAAATACTTTGAACGATAATAATTATGACTGGATGCATTACTTCCAGATTTTATAGGTTCCAAGCTATCTAGCCTTCATCCAATAGTAATAGAGCAATCCATCTATATGATCTTGATTCATGTTGCACCCATCGAGTTGCAACATCATTAATGCTTTCGCCTTGATACTGATCGGATAAAAATCAATCGATTGATGAAAAGTCGATAATTGCACTGAAATTTTAGCCCTAATTGAATTCCGAACAATGGCTGCACATCCGCTTGTTGGACTTCTCGGACGTCTGAATCATGTTGCGATAATCACGCCAGACATGGAGAAATCACGAAAACTCTACATTGACCTTGGCGCAAAAGTTACTGAAACAAAGGTATCTATTCTTCTGAAACGAGATTTCTGCATTTTGCTTTGAAATAGACGAGCATTTGATCAATAAGCTGACGGATGCCGTTACTATTTTGTAGAAAAATATATTTAGCACCGTTTCACTTTCTTTCATGCATCNGTTTCACTTTCTTTCATGCATCAACTGATCACTTCAGGCCGTACCAGAATGGGGTGTGAATACAGCGTTTGTTGAACTGCCAAACTCAAAAATTGAATTCGTGTATCCATACGCCGATGACAGTCCAGTGAAGCCATGGCTGGATGCACACAAGGAAGGTGGACTGCATCATATCTGCATCGAAGTCGAAAATATCCATAAGGTAAGATCAGTTATTTCTGTCGGATTCATGAAAACAACAGTAAAATCTGAGCTCTTTCATGAGTGTCACGGAATAATCTCCAAACGTCACAAACTCCATATTTCAGGCTATCGAGGAGGCCAAGAAAAAGGGCATTAGAACGAAGGGTACTGAGCCAAAGATCGGCGCTCACGGCAAACTTTGCATCTTCTTGGACCCCCAGGATACGGGAAGCGTGAACGTTGAACTGGAGGAAAAATAAAATATTTCATGTCAATTTCCTAGTCTCTTCGTGCTTCCATTCTCGTAGTTTATGATGGGTTCTATTTGAACGTTCTCTAATGCGAACGTCAGAGATTAATTCAATCAATAAATGTTTTTTTTTT